GAGTGTGACCAGTGTTAATTAATATAGAAGAGATTAAAGTAAAATGTTGAAGCTTTGTGGAAGTTTAAGAATGCTTAAGAATTACACCTGAAACCACGTGCAATCAATAAACCTGTTTCTGTTTAAAAAAAGTCAGTACTGGATGGACCTTAGTCTTTCATAAGAAATAAGCTGATAAAGAGATCAACTGGTGGCAGCGTGTCAAGAGGTGTGTTGGGATACCTTCATGAGCTCTGGGGTTTGGTGAAACAAGCATGGGCCACGGGGTAAACGTCACACCCTGCCTTTTCTCTCACCTTTTTTCCAGTCGTAACTCAAAGCTCGGGTTACATGTAGAAGCAACATTTTGTGGCCAGAGCTGGTTGTAACTCGAAATGATTGTGAGCTGGGATGTTCATAAGTCGAAGCGCCACTGTACTGTGCCCCAGCACGACCTTCTGGACCCAATCAGCCAGGTAGGAGTGGAAGCACCATAAAGCAGTGCCTCCCATTCCCAACCCAGCCAATCTGTCCAGAAGGACCCCATGATCTATGGTGTCGAAATCTGTTGAGGGGTCCAGGAGAATCAACAGAGATGCATTGCCCCTGTCTCTCTCTCAGCAAAGGTCATCAAACAGGGTGACCAAGGCAGTCTCCATCCCATAACCTGGCCTGAAACCCGATTGAAATGGATCTAGATAATCCGTTTCATCCAGGAGAGCCTGGAGCTGCTCAGCCACCACATGTTCCAACACCTTGCCCAGAAAAGGGAGGTTCGCCACTGGTCGATAGTTGATCACTAGGCCTGGGTCCATATTAGGCTTTTTTAATCATCATCATCAGTCCCATGGTTGGTCCAGGCTGGGAACAGCCTGGTTCGTTCCTTCTCCTGGTGACCACATGATGTATATTCCATCACAAACCAGCCCAATGTGATCAGTGCCTACCCACACCTTTTTTTGGTCCCTGTCACGGCCTGCTGGGTTTTTTTTTATCCCCGTTTTGGTACAAGTAGGATTGTTCCTATTTTGTTTCAGTTCTAGCATCTGCGATAGCTGAGACTGAACCAAGTGGCTGGCTGTCCCTTTGCTGGAGTTGCTAAATGATCTCATGAAATAGAAAGCTAACTGCATGTTTTTTTTTGTTGAAAAGTGAGTTTTCTAAACACTCTCAAAGGGGCTTGACCTACAGACTTTTTGACTTGAGACCCGCCTTCCAATACGGATTAAGTTCTCAAGTCAAGACCCCACTGTATATATACAGTGGTGCCTCGCATTACGACATTAATTCGTTCCAGCGAAATCGCTGTAGAATGAAAACGTCATAATGTGAAAATAAAAAGGCCATTGAAATGCATTGAAACCCCTTCAATGCATTCCAATGGGCTGTAAACTCACCGTCCAGTGAAGATCCTCCATAGGGCGGCCATTTTTGGTGGCTGTCTTACGAGAAATCCATCCCAGAAAACAGCGGGGAGCCATTTTATTTACCCGGTGGCCATTTTGAAACCACCGATCAGCTGTAGGAAAATCATCGTTTTGCGAAGAATCATCGCAAAGTGAAAAAAAGCCTTTTCAGACCATCGTAATGCAGGGCAATTGTAAAGCGGGGCACAACTGTATAATCTGTAACATTGATCTGATATTATGTCACTTTGAAATATATAAAAAACCAAATATTAGAAATAAGTAAAATTAACAAACAGACAATTTGGAACCATGATAAATAATTCTCTACAAAAGGACAGAAAGACAACAGCAGAAGAAAATGGCTTTATGGCATAATGAGGAGCCTGGAAAAAAATCAGAAGCTGGAACAACAAAAATGCCAATTCACTACATTCATTACAAAAGTGTAGCTGCACCTTCAGTTGCCAACAATTAAAAAGAAATGCAAAACTTCCTCTCCCTTTTCATTTCTCAGGATTATTAAACAGCTTAGGCAAAGCAAGGAGGAGACAGTGGGATTTTTGTTTTGTTTTAAAGAAAAAGATCAGTCTAGATTGTGCCAAACAGGATTGTGGCCAATCCCTGCATGTGGATGCAAGGTCACCCCAAGGGATATATCAACCTTGTTTAGCATCATCTCTAGGCTGATCCAGGCTGGGATAATTGGATCGTCTAGTCACACTGCCAGTTTGGTGTCTCTCTGCTTGAATCAGTCTAATACCTGCTCATTCTTGCTATGTGGACATTAACTAAAATAACGTTTGTGGTAGAATGCACAAACAGTGTGCTTTCTACCACAACTGAAGCAATGCGAAACAGTCCGTCTTATGAAATAGGGCCATCCTAAGCACATTTCTTCATTACTCTATGATGACTAGAGCTTTAAAACTATTAAACGTTTTTAGACCAACAGCACTGTTTCCCCACTTGATCTTTTTTGTTTGTTTCTTTTTGCTTCCTCATTCAGTATTCTTACAAGGTAAAACTGCCCATGAATTTCTGGAAAGAAGAAAACGAGCCAACTCTGTATTTGAGGAATTCAAGCAAGGAAATATTGAAAGAGAATGTAATGAGGAAAGGTGCTCAAAAGAAGAAGCCAGAGAAGCTTTTGAGGACCAAGAAAAAACAGTAAGGCCAAGCCAGCCACTGGGTGTGGTTTGTCTTTATGTGGTAGTCATTGCTCTTTCTGCTAGTGCTTCAGAGAGCAAGATCAGACATCGGAAAAATAGCACCGACAACCCAAGTATGCCTTCTGGGTGGATTTGTCAGTGGCATGAGATGCCTTGTCAATCCCCCTTCTCCTTGTTATTCCCCCCACTTGCTGTTCCTTTTCTCTTTACCCCCCGTTGCCCGTAGCTGCCTCCAGAAAGAGAGAAACTGCCCCTACCTGGCTCTCCTAGGGCAGAAGGGTAAGCATGCAACAGTACAGGAGTCACAATTATTTGTGGATTCAGCTCTTTGAAACCTGGAATGATTACCTGTGCACACTTTCCCCTTTGTAAAGGAACCAACGTCCACACTTTCTTTTGAAGAAAATAGTGAAGCTTGTGTCTATTAGAGCAGAGGTCCCCAATCCCCGGTCTGTGGCCCGGTGCTGGTCCACGGCCTAAGCAGGACCGAGCCACGGAGACAGACCTCCCCCACCCTCCCCCCCTGCACAGCCCCTTTGCACCTGCACACGCATGGCCGCACCCATGTGAGCACTTCCCACCCCTTCACGCATGCGCACGAGTGCCCCCTGTGCGCCGCCCTTCTGCATGCGCACAAGCATGCATGCACCCACCTCTTCATGCATGCGCACGAGTGCCCCCTGTGCGCCACCCTTCTGCATGCGCACAAGCATGCATGCACCTGCACAAGTGCCCTCCCACTCCTTCAGCACATGTGTGTGCTCCTTTGCACATGTGCACGAGCGTTTGCTCCTTCGCACATGTGCATGAGTGGGGGTGCCCCACCTTCCCGAACTGGTTCACGGGGTTAAAAAGGTTGGGGACCACTGTATTAGAGGAACACACGGGATAGAAAAGGTGACAGAAATCCTACTTCTAGCTGACTGAATTTGAGATGTCAAGAGCCATGGCTACCCTTTTCGTCTCTTGGCGATAAAAGCAAGTTGTCTCCTTCTTGGAGAGACAAGAGAGAGGCGTGGGAGAGGAAGTGACATCAGCTGCCCTAAGAACAGCAAGGTAAGGTTGAAGGACGGTCAGCGTAGGTCAGAGCAAGTAGTGTAGGAAACCTGCAGAGGTCCTCTCTGCTTTTCCCCATTCAAAGACTTGCATCTTCTTGAGTTGCACCCAGTCTTTCCAATGAGGATGAAGCAAAAGTAATGAAAATGGGAGAAAAGGGAAAGGTCTGAATGGCTGGGGTTGTAAACGCTTGCCTGGCAAATGCTGTCTGTGGGAAAGGTGGTCTCACGACGTCAAGAAGCCCTGTTGACATTGCATTTGTCATCATCTTTAAACCATGTGCATGTCATGCTGCATAAACAGCTGCTACATCCTTGTCCATTATTTTTCTTACAAATTCTCAGAAGCAAGAAGTACAAAATCACAAATATTTTACAGTCCTGAAAGATGGGGCATAGGTGGAAGAAGTCCATTGATGGTAAATGGAGACATTCAAGGGCCCCACTGTTTGCCTTTGCCCAAATTACCCGGTCCTACTTTTCTTTTCCTAATGAGCAGACAGCAGCAAGCTGGCAGCTAAACAAAATGTAATTTTTTTTCCAGATGCAGACTGTGCAAACCCTAGTCATCAAGAGAAACTATCAGGGTTCAGCTCCGACTTATGGTCAGCATCATTAGGCTACAGTAATTTATAGAAGTACTGATCTCTATTGATCTCACAGAACATTGGTTCTTAATTGGGCTACAATATATGCAACGTTATTACAGTGCAATTTGGCTTTGAAAAATAAGACAGCTAGCTGCATTGCTTTGGATTAAAGTCTCTGTGTGTGGGGAGTGGGACAATCATGCTGGGGCCATAGCCATCCATCCCTGGACCTTGAAAAGCCAAACCTGTGACACTCCCCCTTGCACACAGCTGTTCTCAATTTTTTTAACTGAAAAAGCCCCCTTGCTCCCTCTAGTGGCTAAATTTAAAGAAATTAAAGTTGAGAGATACACAGGGCCTGAGTGCTAATACATACCTGTAAAAATGTAGCAGACTAGCTTCAATCCAGACCATGCATCTCCAAGAGAGTTTCTTGAGCCAAATATGTTTTTTAAAACTTTTTAAAATCAGAGCATTCAGAGGCTGCATGGGGCTGGTGGGCTAATTTGAGGTGTAAAAGAGTCTTGTGGCACAGTGGTTAAATTGCGGTACTGCAGCCAAAACTGTTACTAAACTCTGCTGTTTCTTTGTTTGATCAGGATGAATTTTGGAACATTTATGTAGGTAAGAAATTATTTTTTCTTTGCTTTTTACAACTTTAATATTCTGATTTGTATTTTATAATATAAATGCAATTGTATTATGAATTCATTAAGAGTGAAAAATACTAGTGGAATTCAATTGCTAGAGTTTTCACTTACTGTTGTGCCAGTCAGGGACCCAAATACTACTTTCCTGGTGGTGAATAAAAGAGTGGCAGTGCCATGTTGTAGAAACCTCACTCCACTACCCTAGAAGATCTGACCAGACCGTATGCAGGTTCTGCCTGGGCATCAGAACTACACAAGGGAAACTTGACCTTGGCAATTGACTGATTATATTACTATCAACTTGTGCGACATTTCAGAATAAAATGTAAATAAATAAAAGTTCTCTGCTGTGAACAGTTCACGGTCAGATTTTACCAAGATAGAGAGACAACACTGGGAAAGAGAGGGAGAAAGGTCACACAGATATCTGATTTACTTAGAGTTGTGTTGGGTCAAGAATCAATCCAAAATATTTTTTGATTGGGTAGCCTCCCTGATAGATGGAGGGAATGCTGCAGACATAATATATCTAGAACAAAGCTTTTGATAAATTGCCCTATGATGTTCTGATTAGCAAGCTAACTAGGTGTGGGCTGGATAGTACAAGTGTCAGATGGATGTACAGTTGTTACAGAATCATACTCAGAGAGTGCTTATCAATGGCTCCGTCTCAAATTGGGAGGATGTAACAAGTGGGGGATCACAAGGCTCTGTTCTGGGTCTGGTGCCCTTCAATATTTCTATTAACAATTAGGATAAGGGACTTCGTGGAATACTTACGATGCAAAATTGGGTGGAAGAGCTAGAAGACAGGAACATAATTCAAAAAGAACTTTATAGGCTTGAGCACTGGGGTGAAAATAACGTAATGAAATTTAACAGGGATAAGTGCAAAGTTCTACACCTGGGGCAGGGGGACCAAATGCACAGTTACAAGATGGGGGATACTTGACTCACTAATACTACAAGTGAGAAGGATCTTGAAATCGTTGTAGATCACAAACTGAATATGAGCCAACAGTGCGATGTGGCTGCAAAAAAGGCAGATGCTATTTTAGGCTGCATTAACAGAAGTATATCCAAATCCCATGAGGTACTGGTCCCTCTCTATTAAGCACTGGCTAGGCCTCATCTAGAATATTGTGTCCAGTTCTGGACACTGCCTTTAAGAAAGATGCCAACAAACTGGAGCAAGTTAAGAGGAGGGCAACAAGGATAAATAGGGAACTGGATACCAAGCCTTAGGAAGAAACACTGAAAGAATTGGGCATGTTTAACTTTGAGAAAAGAAGGCCGAGGAGAGATGTGATAGCATTTTTCTAATACTTCAAAGATTAGTCAAGAGGAGGGCAACAAGGATGATTAGGGAACTGGATACCAAGCCTTAGGAAGAAACACTGAAAGAATCGGGCATGTTTAACTTTGAGAAAAGAAGGCTGAGGAGAGATGTGATAGCATTTTTCTAATACTTCAAAGATTATCATACAGCGGAGGGACAAGTTTTGTTCTTAATCATCCCCAAGTCCAAGATACATAATATTTTCCACAGAATATATAAAAAAAGTCTTGAAATACAACAATGGAACTAATTACTTCAGGAGGTGGTGAACGTTCCAACACTGGAGGCACTCAAGAGAAAATTCAGCAACCATCTGTCGGATCTGCTTTGATTTTAATTCCTGAATTGATCAGGGGTTGGATTCAATGGCCTTGTAGGCCCCTTCCAGCTCCATTATCCCCATCTGAACAACTGCATCTTATGGAATGCAGTGGTTTGCTATGTCTCCAGAACAGCCTTTTTGGGGATTTGTATATGAACACTGCTGTATGCATAGTATCTTGGTTTTCTGACAAATTTATTACACGTATAATAGTTCACTAACAAATGTTGCAACTATACCTGTTCTCTAGGAAACAATACCACAATATGAAAAGTGACTGCCAATACTGTGCTTTTTTTTCTTAAGACCTAAACATCTTAACATTTTGGATTCCAGAACCCACTTATCCTTTTATTGTTATTTTCTGTTATAGATGGGGACCAGTGTAAGTCAAACCCTTGCCATTACGGTGGGACATGCAAAGATGGCATTGATAGCTATACTTGTACATGTTTAAGTGGCTATCTTGGACGGAACTGTGAATACAGTAAGTTTGTTTTCTGACTTCATTCATTCATTCATTCATTCATTCATTCATTCATTCATTCATTCATTCATATACCAACCCAATAGTGCAAGTACTACGCTATAAAAGGGCAGTGTTTTTTTAAATGGGGCAGAGATCGGCAATTTGGTGTTCTCCAAATGTGTTGGGCTCCAGCTTCTAGTAATCCCAACCAGCAGAGTCAGAGGTCAAGGATTATGAAAGCTGTACTGCAAGACACCACAAGGGGACTGGGTTGCCTGCTTACACCCACTGGCCTCATCATCTGAACCTATTTCTCAGTGGCCTTATAGTGTCAGCCAGTCATAATCATTTGACTGTCATAGGCTTGGACTCTTCCCAGCAGTAAACTGAGTTTGTAATTGCCTTGCTATTGCTACCTTCCCCCCCCCCCCTGTAATTGCCTTGTTATTGCTACCGCTACCTTCCCCCCCCCCAAGACACCGCCAGAAGCCTGAAAGAAGAGACAGCTGCTGCAAGGCCGAGCAATGCACAGGTTGCCTCAGGGTAGCAGATGCAACTGGATCCAAGCAGATCCATGCAGACTGGATCTAAGCCTTGTGAGGACAGAGGCCTCCTTTAGGCCACCTGAGGTCTCATGAAGTTGCTTTTAAGATAAAACAGGAGAATGATCCGGTACCAAAAGATCTGAAGGATTTATAAAGTGGGAGACGCAAATGGATCTGGCCCGCTTTTATGGTCTTAACTTTGCCAGCTGAATTGTTTGCTTTCATTGTGTTCATACATGTTTACCCCTTTATACAGCCATACAAAAATCCTGCAAGGTAGACAATGGTGGATGTTGGCACTTCTGCAAACATGAAGAGAATAATGTGGTGTGCTCTTGCGCTGATGGGTATATCTTGGAAAACAATGGAGAATCCTGTGTTGCAACAGGTATATTAACATTACAGGTTTTTTTGTATCCCTGTTAATCAAACTTCCCAACATTCATATTGTGTGACATAATGTGGCCAAAATCTCGTTCGTTTTCAGTGTGATGCATATGTCCCGGTGTGAAGTAAGTACCTGACTAAAAAAATTATTGCAGAATTTGGAATTCTTTTTAAATTCCTCAAGCTGCACAGCAGAATTACAAGAATCCACAGAGCAGAATAGCATCATGTTCCTCAGATTAGTCCACCCCTTCTTCTCATTAACTGTCACTTACAGTCTCAGCAATGCTCTCTGAGCCATCTTTATGATAAAGAATAAAAGGTTTCAGTTACTTACTGTTGAGCAGATCAAACAGCAAACTGAAAAAAAATATGACTGCCTGCAGCAACAGGCCTCAACAGTATGATTGCCCGCAGCAACAGGCCTCAACAGACTGACTTATTCCCAATAGACAAAAGAGAAGGGAAAGAAGCAGAGCAGAGAGGCAGGGGCTCTCTTTGAATCACAGTCAAGAAAGAAATATTGGTTAGTGTTGTTAGTGACTGAAAGTCAACCAGTCCAGAAAGGTCCCTCCCAGCCACACCTACTAGAATCAGCATGCGAGGTTGTGTAAAAACTCCAAAAAGAACTTCTAAATCCAAAATAACATCCTTTGACCATTTGGTCCAGGGATCCTTTCATTGGTTCTTCCACTCTAAGGTGAGAGAAAAGAAATATCCAATAACGTCAGTTGACCAGTGGGAAGGATGTTGTTGGCAGAATAAAATCCCTCCCCCACTCCCTCAGTTGCATCCCCAGAGTGGACTAGGGAGGCAGAGGGAGGGAAGAAAGGAAAAGTGTTTTTGAATTACAGCGTCCACATGTATTTCAATTTAGGGTGATCTATCCTGTCGCTTTTTATGGCTGTCTAATTCCTTTTTGGCTCAGCACTAAGGGCTGTAGAGTTTTCTGGCATGATTTGGGGCACTCCTAATTATTCCATTGCATATTCTATGTGGATGGTTACAGTACTTTGCACTGAAATAGAGCTGCGGGCAGTGTTATCTGAGGTGATAACCTGTGGTGTATTTGGTGAGTTGTGGTTTGGAAAGGGATGACAGAGAAGCCCTCCTCCTCTATTTTCATCTACTCCCCCATTTTTTAATTTTTAGAAGTATATTCTCCTATTGATGCAACACTATTCTAGGTAAACAAGGTACTGCACTTTGGTGGCAGTATGCGTATCATGCGTTGGTGGCATTATGTGTATTGTGCTGGGGAGATGCACTGCTATTTCGCTGTGTCACTTTCTTTATTTTAACAAAAAGGAGAAAAGTCACCATGGCCCACTGAATGGCAGCCATGGGGAAAGGTGAGGAGAATGGTGGGGAGGGGAGTGCCGTGAATTGAAAGGGGGAACACAAAGACTTGCCCTTCTTGTGGGAGAAGAAATGTTGATCAGTGTGAACAAAAGGATTGCTCAAGTGAGAAATAAAATAGATGGCATTAAAGATAGAAACCTTTTGAGTGTGAACCAGACCACTCCGGTTTCCCCCATCTGGATGTGCCTTTACTCTCGAATAGGATCGCAGTGTGGATAATTGGTTCACATCATTAAGGTGGGGCTAGGGAACTGAGAGGATGCCAGGCAGTCCTGATTCCTTGGCTCTGAACCCTCTGTGGACTGGATGATATCAGGGGCGCAGCCCCAGCCCCTGGCATGACTTGCCTTCACTCCACTCCAATGACTAGGGCTGGTGCTTGCAGAAGGACTTTGTCTTTCATATGCCTTCTCCCTTGTGAGGAGGAGAGGAGATAGTGAGAGTCTTGCAAAGCCAGCGCCACTCCATGCCCAAGTGCCGGCTGCAGGACTGCATTTACTAAATACATGCACTTGATCCATCCGTCTTTGCTGACACACATCCGCATGCAAACACACTCCCCTCTGCTTTCTTGTCCTGGTTTTTCCCTGGCTCCCAAAGCTCCTTGCTGATGCCCACCTTACTGCTTCTCCTGGCTCCCTTCCTTCCAAGGGACCTACCGTACTCCGTCCACCCGTGTTCTTCTTAAACTGAGTGGTCTGTGATGAGAAAATAAAGAGGAGCTTTGTATGCAGAACCTGGGAAGGTTTGCTTTTTTGCTTTGTCGAGCACCAGTTGGCTTGGTTACATCACTCACGTTTAAATGCCAATGGTGATTTTGCAGCTGATTACCCCTGCGGTAAAATTAAGAAAGCCAAGACCAAGACCAAGAGGGAAGCAAGTTTGTCTGACCACATTCCCACTAGTCTGGATTATGATGCAACTCCTGAAGGCAGTTATCGGAGTTTCCCTACAACCAGTCCTCACCTGCCAACCCAGCAGGACATGTCACTCAATGAGGAAGACACCAACTTGGATTCGGATCGTGACACACGTATTGTTAATGGATCAGATTGTGAACTGGGCCAATGTCCCTGGCAAGTAAGTCCAGTTGCCTCATTATGCTGCTTGCTTTATTTGCAGTAGTACTTTGCTAAAGCACAAGTTCTTTTGAACTGCTCCTTTGCTTACAATCCGTCTATAGAAAGCATAGCATAAACTACATTTATTTTCTTTATTTACTTCATTCATCTCTTTCCTTTTTCCTAATAGTGGGGTCAAAATGTGATTTTAAAATATGCGCATGTATATCACTATATGTAGTTATACCCCATATACATATGTTGCCTTCCTGCCTTCTCCTTCCATGTGTCCGTTCTGGCCTTTTGAAAAAGTACCACCAATGGAAACTTCTTTTTTTAAAAAAAGGCTGTGCAGGGGAATCAGGTTTCAGAGTGGAATCACTTCTGGGCAGGGAAGGTCAAATCTGCAGCACCCTGCAATGGCTCCTAGATGGCACCCCTGTATAGCCCCAAGGCTTTGAAATATTCTCCCCTCCCACACTTCTGTGGAAGGTGGTGTGTGTGTGATGGGAACACAGGGAGGAGAGGGAGAAAAAGAGAGGAAGGGGAGAAAAGAGGAAAAGAGAGATGGAAGAAGGAGGGAAGAGAGACAGTAGTTAATAAAATTAAAACAGCTTTGTACTAAGTAGAGCATCTTACATTTTGTATTTCTACAAATCTTATGGTACTTTTAAATTACACATACCGTACAGTAAAATCAGGTGGCCACGCCAATCGTATTATAGTTCAGCCTCACACTGGTTATACAGCACTCATTCTTCCAAAATCTGGGCACTTGAAGCTATTTGATCACATTATGCTAGCCTACTGCAATTGGATGCTAGTTTATTTTGACCGTGTGTAAACTGGGTGTTTCAGAATCTGTATCCATCACAGGTAACTACTGTCTGGCTCAGCCCCTGGGCTGCTGTTATTGCCAATCTGTGTTTGTTGCTATAGCTGTGAATCTAAAGCTTGGCAATAACAAATGATGGATGGTGTTTCAGTAATCCACTGATATATTGACATAATACCCAACTCCCAAAATTTATGCCAAATCTCATTATATTTTTAAAAAGTGCATTTCTTTCAAAATTAAACCATTTCATTCAAACAGAAATGTGGTACATGCCATTCATTTGAAGTTTGATTTCTTGAGATTAAGGTGTTTGCTTGCTTGCTTGCTTGCTTGCTTTTTTGACTAGAAATTGTCCAACATGAACCAGCTGTCATATTACTTTCTACAATCCTGCTAGCTGGCAGTTGTGCATTCAGAGGTACCTGGGTCAGGCACTTAATTATACACCTAGGCCTGTGACAGACAGCTGTCAAAATGTGAAAACCTTTTTGCCCAATTGCCCTTGGCTTTCCACAATAGGTTTTCAGCCTATGTTGTTAACTTTTAAAAAATTAAGTCTATCTAAAAGAAGTCCCATTAAAAACGATCTCAATGTCCACTGGTTGTTGAATAGGTTGCTTTGATTTTTAAAAAAAGACCTGTTATTTAATGCGCTGATCTCTAATGCAGTTTGTTTGGAAATGACAAATTTTTGTCAAATAAATCAGCATGCAACCCTTCCCTCTCTGATCTAAGACATTGAGTGCACAGATGCACAGGAACAAATATTCCCTAAAGGAAAGAATAACCCAACAAAAGCAGAGCACAGCAGGAGCTAAATCCCAATGAACAAATCCCATTCATTCATCAGGTCTATTGTAATTGGGACGGACAATTCTATCAAACCCTAAATATCCGGGAAGGTAAATAACAGCATTTTCCCCTCCAGAGTCACTGATAAAATCCTATTTGCACATTTATTTCTCTTTTCAGGCACTTCTACTAAATGAGCAAGAAGAAGGGTTTTGTGGAGGAACTGTTCTGAGCCCAATTTATGTGCTCACTGCAGCTCACTGTATAAACCAAACCAAACTAATTAAAGTTGTTGTAGGTAGGTATTCTCAGTTTATATCATTGATACTTCGAAGATACTTAACTACATCAGCCCGAATACTATTGATACAGTATTTGCATTTTTATAACTTGCTGTGGCGAATTACCAAGTGCTGGGCCATGTCTTAAGGGCACAGTTACACTGCTGATTTGTATTGATTTTTGCTCCGTGTTTTCGGCACATGGTTTTTGTATCACTGTGTGTTCTCACTTTGAAAGTTATTACTCTGATTTAAAGTAGGGGCTTAAAGCCTCTTCAGGAAACTACATGTAAGATTTATATCGTTTCATTAACTAGACTGCATGGTTTCCATTGTCACTGATCCTGGTGCTTCCCCGTTTGTTGAAACCTTCTTTTTTCCATTTGTTTTCAGTGTTGTGCAGTATTTCTTCAGTTTTTAGGCAGCCTTTGGATTAAAAAACCCCAACAACAATTCTTCTCAATATTTTCTCTCTCCTTTAAAATCCTAAAAATTATTGGCAATTATCTCACATATATATCTAGGCGAATATCCAGCACTAGACTTCTGATGGAGGAGTAGATGAATCCAGTAGAATGGGAAGTTCCCTTCCTCCCCTGTGTGTCCCCCAAACTGAGCTGTGGGGAGAGGGTTGAGTTACGAGAACCACAAAGGGGGTAAGGAATTTCTACAGGTGCAATGTGGATTCAGGCTAATATCTCCCAACCTACTGAGATTTCTTTTAAAACTAGCCTAGTGTATGAGGATGCATCATGGATCTCCTGTGGAGTATAACGGGGGCAGGAAGAATCAGACTGGAAATGTGGCAGTAGAGCTGAGTGGAAATAATCTGTTGTCACTGTTTCAATCAAAACAGGAGCAACAGTGTTATAGCACATATAATGATATGACACAGACCTGGGCAAAGTGCGGCCCGAGGGCCACATACAGCCCGCGAGCCGCTCCTGTCCGGCCCGCGGACAGTTTTGAACATCAAAACCATTTATAGCTTTTTGTCTAAAGTTGATCCGTTGCTTATCTTTAACATACCGCAAAAAAAACCTCTTTAGTATTTGTGAAGATTAACAAGTTTAAAATAAAAACAATCATAACATCACTGTTTCATTTTATTTTTAAGTAAAGTTGGTTGGCCCCTGAACACAGTTCAGATTTTTCATGTGGCCCCCCTATAGAAATTAATCGCCCACCCCTGATATAACATATAATGCTGCTTTCCTAGTTGTATCCCATTTTACTTAGCCTCTTTGCCACAGCATGTGTGCTATGTATTATGTTTCTCTGTGGCCTCAACTTTGTACTTTCATGCACCCGAAAAAGTGGATTGCAGTCAACCGCTGCTCACACAGAAACACGTTCACTAGTATTAAAGGTAGTTCACCAGCATTTCAGTATTAGCTCTTGGTCTTTTGTGTCAGGGGAGGGGCTGTTACATGTGCTGGAAGAGACTAACAGGCTACCTTTAGTTTTAATCAATGGGGATTTAGTGAGCCAACACCTTTATACTAAGACGAAGTACGTTGCAGATAAAGTAAGACCATTTGAATCAGTGGAATGTATGAAGAGGTCTACTCACCCAATCCCCACTGATTCAATGGCTCAATTCTGGTACAGTTTACTATGCTAAGCAACAGGATTTTGGCCAGTAAATAATAATTCTAACTTGTTCTATTATGTTATTCTGTCACAAATTAAGACCTAAAACCCCCCAAAAGTATTACAGATGTTTTTGAGAGAATTAATTTACTATTTTATTAGGTTTAGAAAATGTGTCTGACCTCCACTGTTCCTTGTTGTACACCAGCTTCAGTGTTTCTGCCAGTAGAGAAACTGTTTTACTTTCAGCTTAGTAACTGGTACATTTAGCCAAGGCCTGAACTGTTGTGGAGAAAAGTCCAATTTGAAGACCAGTATATTTGTACCACGTAATAACTATATTGTATTAACCTCCCGCAGGGGAAGTGGATACAACAACAAGAAGAACAGGATCAATTCATGCTGTGGAGAAAGTATACGTACATCAGAAATTTGTTTTGGAAACCTATGACTATGATATAGCTCTCATTCAGTTGAAGGATCCTATCCAGTTTTCTGAATATGTGATCCCTGCGTGTCTTCCGACAGCAGACTTTGCTAATCAAGTTCTAATGAGACAAACTGCTGGTGTTGTTAGTGGTTTTGGGCGTGTCCATGAAAAAGGTCGAGTATCCACCAAACTTCAAGTAGTGAAACTTCCCTACATTGACCGGCTCACATGCAAGCTCTCAAGCAATTTCGCAATCACTGAGAATATGTTCTGTGCTGGCTATGACACTCTCGCTCAGGATGCATGTCAGGGTGACAGTGGAGGCCCTCATGTCACTGAATACAAGGGCACCTACTTCGTCACGGGTATCATCAGTTGGGGAGAAGGGTGTGCAAGGGAGGGAAAATATGGTGTTTATACCACTGTGTCAAATTTCATAAGGTGGCTGAGGAGAATTATGCGTCAAAAGCCACAACAGAACTGAGGAGAACTACTGTTCTCTGAACACGATTTAATGACAACATATTAGTCAGTGAAATAAATCACTGTTTAAAACTCCCTGTATGTTTGTTTGATAGACTATATATTCAAAGGCAGAACAGCGTATTCACTTAGACTTCTCTTAACCTCACAGTGCAGTGGTTATGCTGCAGTACTGCAGTGAAGACTCTGCTCATGAAATGAGTTCAATCCTGAGCTTAGGTAGGCAGTCTGAGGTTGACCCAGCCTTCCATCTTTCTGAGATTGATAAAGTGAATACAAAGCACACTGGGGGGGGGGCAATGTATAGCCTGCATAATTAAATTGTTAACCACCCAGAGAGTGCTTTAAGCATTATGGGGTGTATATAAACAGCACACTTTGCTTTAACCTGGCTTGCCAATTCATCAGTTTAGCCTTGACCTTGGTGGGCACTGCATCCTTTGTTGCACCATTCATATGCTAGAATTACATTTTAGTTTCTGTGTTAATTAACTCAAAATGAAAAGAAGCTGTTTATACAACCAATTTAATGTAGCCATAGTGCAATGTGACAAGGTCACTATACCTGATTTTCGCACCTACATCTTGTGAATGTGCAGTGCAGCTCCTCACCTTCTCTTCAGATATATAGTGCAAAGGTTGTGAGGAGAAAACTTGCAGGATTTCAGAGCTATCAGTGGCCAATAGGCCCCTTTTCAATAAGCAGCTTTTCTCGGCATACACTTCAGTTAGGGGATGAAAGTATCAGTATGCCCTGTGTTCTGGCAATATGAAGTTTCACAAATCATTAAGATGCTTTCATGATAGCCTTTGAAGAAAAGCTTTTGATAAATGATGCACATATTTTATGACTTGTCTGTCTTGAACTTTTTCTTCTTTGTATTTCTGTTTGTACCACATGCAATAATAAAACAATGTTTTAATCTGTGGAAAATTATATCTGTTAATTACACAACATGTACCAATATACCACCAATAAATACTATGTGTCTTGGAGAAGGAAGTTTTTTAAATTAAATATGGTTTAAATTTAAACCTCTACAGGCTTAGAAAGATCAGTGTCCAGGCTGGGGATGGGGAACCTGTGCCTTGCCACCTGGTGTTAAACTACATCTCCTGTCATAGGCCATGGAGCTGATGGGAGCTGAAGTCCAACAACAGGGCCACAGCTTCCCAACCCTGAATCAGTATAAAGGACATTGTGATCTATAAGCAACTTTTGTATAAAAAGTTTCAGTGGCCATAAATGACTAGGAAATATTTGTCACTCACTCACTCACTCACTCACTCACTCACTCACTCACTCACTCACTCACTCACTCACTCACTCACTCAATCAATCAATCAATCAATCAATCAATCAATCAATCAATCAATCAATCAATCAATGCACTTGAGGTTCAATTAATTTAACTGCTGTAAAGTACTTTGGCAAAACCAAAACCAAACATGTTTATGTCAATAAGCCATTCCTTAAATCATCTGCCAAAGGTGCAGAAAACATTTCTCTTTTTCTTCAATCCTGCTCATTTAGCAAAGGTTTCAATAACAGTTTCTAGATTTTGAATTTGAGCATGGGTAGGTGGTATCTATGTTAGCCTGTTTTCATCAAAAGCAAAGAGGTTTGTGGCATTTTGAAAGCTAATGAATTTATTTGGCACAGTCATTTATGGCCCAACATGGACTTCATTCTGCAACAGTTTATGCCAAATAATGCTATTTTTTCTTAACTTGTCATATGACTCTTTCCAACTGTGCTCTTCTGTATTACATTTTTTCCACCCTATCCATGTAATACTTGTAATTAAGGTCAGAAATAGCATAATATGAGTTATGATATCCCCTTAGGCAATGCTCACAACAAAAGATTTAGATCATATAAGTTAACACCACAGTCATAGTTTATTTTTTTAAAAGGCTTTCTAAGAGTTTCCAGTTGGTGTCATATTATAGCCCCTCTGCTGCTGTTTTTTTACAAGCCTCCTGAACTTTAAACTTTACTTGTTCAGTAATTTTGTCAAAGAGTAACTTCTGAGCAGTCAAAATTCAACTAAGTATTTCAAGAGGACAAAAATGGAAACTCGGAACTGGATGATATGGTTTCTCTTTTTTGCATTTGTTTTTAACCAGGCAGACCTAACAGGTATGGCATTTTGTCTGCATAATATTTGACTTCATATTTATAATCCAAAAGCAAGGGAGAAAACAAAAAGCATTCATAATGAGTAATTAATCTGCGCCTTTGAGTATTAACTTCAAGGGGAACTATTCTTCCTCCAATTCTGTTGTTATGATTTAGTGGAACGTTGGCTTGTCTGTCCCACAAAGGTAATTATGTGCTTTACACATAATTACCTTTGTGGGACAAGTTCTTTAGTTGCTAATAAAGGTGTATTTAATTGCTAATAAAGGGTGGAAATTCCTGGAAACAAATCAGAAAAGAGGATTTGCCTTGATAGAGGTGATACTCAGAAAGAATTTTCATGGTCACCTAATTCATCTGTTATTCATTTATTGAGATATGTTTAAACATTTGATGTAGTAACTCTTACTGCTTCAAGATACAAGCACAGTGCAGTCCTATCTATACCTCCTTAGAAGTAAGCCTCATTGAGTTTAGCGGGACTAACATCAAGCAAAGTCTGTGCTAAGACTGCAGCCTCAGTTGCAAAATGCGCACATTGCATTATGTAAGGAATATGTGTTTCAAATGTGTTCCTGCATATCGAATGTGCTGCATGAACACACATGCATGCACCCTTATTCCTCATGTATGCATAAATGATCTATGCCATTCCGAAAATGCTTTGTCTGCAGATGCATATCGAATGTGCATATCGAATGTGTTCATGCATATCGAATGCATACACTCATGTATGCATAAATGATTTATGCCATTCCGAAAATGCTTTGTCTGCAGAATGTATGCTGCAAATGTATGTGCCTTTTTAACAAGGCTGTTGATTACTCACTGTGTCTTTCTGTGTGGGACTGTTCACAACAAGCTGTGAGCTACTTCATCTGTGATGGCTTTCCTGTATTGAAGGAGTAGGGATGGTGTGGTCATCCAGGTGTTGCGGGACTGCAACTCCCATCAGCCTGAGCCATCATAGCCAATTGCAGAGATCTGGGATGTGAAGGCATAACCATTGTAGGTGAATGTGCAAAACAATATTTTCCCTCTCTATTATGGTCTGATTACATACATTGGATGTGTTGTGGTTCAGTGTTAGTGTTTTTTTTTTTTTTAGACATATGGTCCTCGTTTAGGAGCTCCAAGGAGTAGTTTGGGAGCCAGTGTGGTGCAGTGGATAGGGTGACGGACTAGGATTTGGGAAGCCTGGACTCAAATCCCAGTCAGCCAAGGAAACTCACTAAGAGGGCGGGTTGGCAATGGTACAACCGTTCCTTGACTATCTCAAATACTTTGAAAACTCTATAATAATAATCATGTACCAACAAGTCAATTCTGATTTATGGTGACTCTGTTCAAGGTTTTCTGTGTAGAGGTTGCCCTGGGACTGTGCAGCTTGCCCAAGGCCACATAGGCTGGCTCTACTTGGAGGAGGTTCAGTGGGGAATTGAACTCCCAACCTCTGACTCCAAAACCAGATACCTAAACTGCTGAGCTGTTTCCATAAGTTCAATGCAACTTGATGGCACCCCAGCAACAACAGAACTAAATGTATTTTAAAAAGGGATGCTTCTTCTACACACATATTCCTGCTACCCTAATACAACACTTATATTGCCCTACAGCATTTATCTGCTTTCATAATCATAGAGAGCTGTCTGAAATCATTTTGCTGCTTGAGGATACAGAGAAGAAAGTGCCTTGTCCTTACTCCATGCATGGAAACCAAGTCGTTCTGGCAGCGGAATGTTAGGGTTCCACTACAGATGGGGTAGTGTCTTCCTCGGCACTTGGGTCAACAGGCTGGTCCGTGCAGCTGAGGGCAGACTGTGTGACATCCAATGCTCTGTCTTTCTGCCTCATAGGAACACTAGGGGACTGGAGAGAGACTGGTGCTCCTCATCGAGTATCTGCAAAGGGATGCGGTAGCCCTACTGTTCCTCCCCACATGATATTCATCAGCCAATATTTGCCGTGAATTTTCAATCCAGATTGTCCAGATGTATACAGTACTTAGCACTGCATATGATTTGTGCTGTAGTGTGCTTAGAACCCCAGTTTCAACACACAATAGGATTTGGGAGATAGTCATCAGGTCCAGATTTTTTTTTTGGTATAAATTTAGGAGATTTGGATCTGCCAAATACATGAGGGAACTGGAACATGCTTACACCTCAATAAACACGTACTTTGGGGGAAAGTACGTACAAAAAGTGTCTGTTGGGGCATTATATTGCGCAAGGGGTCATGTTGTAAAAATGGATACATTTGGAAAACTGTAGACAGATGTAAATACTTACTGTTGGGCAGACTTTAGAAAAAAAACATATTTTTGCCATATTTGCATGATGCAAATTTGGGCTGAAACAAATGAGGTATTTGCAGATCCACCCATCTCTAACATCATTGCAAAATCCTTTGTCTAGCTTTGGGGATCCTTTCAAGGAAAATGTGCTTACCTCATACAGTCTCACATCTGTCATTAGGATCGTAACAAATAATCTGCCAATCAAACTGAACATGGGGATAGACTGTGACCAGTTGATTTGTGTAAAGAACGCTGATACTTCCCTTGTTTTCTTCCAGTGTTTCTATCAAGCAACAAGGCAAATGAAGTGATGGTAAGATCAAAGCGTGCTAGGTATATGATTATTGAGGAGATCCTGCAAGGCAGTGTGGAAAGAGAATGCCTTGAAGAAAGGTGTACTTATGAAGAGGCACGAGAAGCATTTGAAGATATTGAGAAAACAGTATGTATTCTTGGCAGGCTTATTCCTTGGAGACAGATTGAGTCATGCATCATTTAAGTCTCAAGGCTAGCACCTCCTAGAGCAACGGATGGCCTCTAGCCTAAGAACGGCTGGGTTAACAATTAATGGAGCATGGAGCATGTTTAGGGAGGAAGAATGGCCAGTGCCCTGGCACAGAAGAAAATCCAGAAGTGAGCAAAGGAGAGGACTCAACAGCACTACAGTAGGAGTAAAAGGTATTCACTGGCAAATGGCCAGTGAGAGAACCCCATGAGTAAAGAAGACAGCAAAGCAAGCTTAGAAGTTGGGGTGGAGGTAGCAGGAAGCTTCTCTTCTTCAGTTGCAGAATGGCATTTAGTAACACAGCCAGAGGCCCTACAGTTGGCTTTGTCCAGCTTTGGAAAGGTATCTTTAGTGACTCGTTGAATTGAGCAAAGTGGGTGAATAACTGAGTAAAGCATAAAAGGTAAGGGAATAAAGTGGACTGAATTTACTTTACAAACAAGAAGCAAAATGAGCAAAAGAAATAAAATGAACAGATGACTAAATTAAGCAGCTGAATAGGGGGAACAAAGGAGGGGTAGGCCATCTTGTATCCGCTAGATGTTTTGGACTAAAAGTCCATGATCCTTCATCCATTATCTTTGTCCATGCTGCTCAGGGGCTTATGGGGTAGGTAGTCAATAACATTCAGAGAGCACATATTCATAAAGTAAGGAAGAAAGCAAGTAACTCATGATCAGCAGTGCCATTCTATATAGGTCTACTCCAAGTATGTCCAATTTAGATCAATGTGATCGACTCCCAGGTAAATGATCAGGTAAACCAAAGAATCCCTTCCCACTCTCATAAACAGTTGTTGGGTGGGACGTAATAGTCTCTGCACTCCTTAGTCTGTGATAGAGAATATTGTTTTTCTGCTCAGTTCATTTTTCCATTCGTAAGGCACTACTAGAACCCTGGTTATCTTCCCTGCCGAACACCCCTGAGATTTTTCTGAATGATTCTTCCTCCCGTATCACTGAAGCTGTCGCTATTTTTCTGCTTGAGATTCTTAAATTAACTTCCAAATTATAACCCGTTGTGTTTATTGTTAGTAATCCCAGCTGTATTTATGCCAATAAAGGTTTGGAGAAAGTAAGTAAGTATAAAAAAAGAATAAGAATGCTGTGAGGTGGTTGTGACAGAGACACTGGTTAGGCCACCTTAAGATGGATGGGTCTGGAAGAAGAAGTTTTTTAATCTTTCTTCTTCTCTAAAACTAACAGATGGAAATAGGAATACTTGTGTGTAGCTTTAATATTCTCATTCTCATACTAGGATAGCTATCTTAGGGAAGAAACAAATAAGATGCCAGCTTCACAATTCGAAACACAGTTCCCTTAGAACCTAAAAGAGATCAGTTTTTCCTACCAGTTTTTGCAGTGCTGCAAGATGTAAATTAACTTTATTTTATTCAGCGATAGCTCATCAGGAGATAAACATGGAATTTATTTGCAATTCGGGAAAGCTTTGAAAAACTGTCTCTCTCAGTGATAATTTTCTGCTACCTTCTAATTGCAAAGCTCATCTGTCCCCAGTGTTTGCTTTTAGTCCCCAATATTACATGTGGCTGTATTAACTTAACTCTTTTCAAAGATACACCAGGAAAATCTGGATACAGCTGCAGAGGTGGGGATTGGAAACTGCCCCTTTAGACATTTTTGTTTCCCATTCCTTGTGCTTTTAAGGAACTTTCAGTTCCATTAGCCCTTTTATAGCCAATCCCAGAATTTGTCAAAGCAGTCAATAAATAACCTATAGCAGTGTATTATTAAACATGGTTTAATCAACAATACACTTGCAATTTCCCTGCAGAACCAGTTTTGGAGTGGCTATTTTGGTAAGTAGACTTTCTATTTATTTTTCAACATTCCTGATGATTGTATTATTGTGCAAATGACAGGGTATATCCTACAAACATGCTAGTAACTAACAGAATATTTCTTTTGCTTGCTTATCTTGTGGCCTTTGTGGTAGGAGATGAAAACAGCACAAGCTGTTTCTCTAGTCTATACCCCCTCCTTTACAATTTGAGCCCTTGAGTCAGTCACTTGAAATTATACAAGAGTGGAAGGATATTCTTAGAAATACACACATGTGACATGTTGTTTCTAACTTGCCCCTCATTGATTGTTATGAATCTCTTAAGCATGACATACTCTGGGTCTGTCCCTAAATGTACGCTTCTGTAATCCTAACATTCATGCCCACTAAGAATCTTTCTTTGCGACTAAAAAAGCTGTATCTTTACCTGCTGTAATTTTTCCTGAAGATATTAAGGAGTTAATTACCTCTAGAAGAGCAATTCAATTTGGCTTGTGACTGGACAGAGGATTGCACTGTTTGTGAATTTAATGTAAAGCATACAACAAATTCAGTAACATCACAGTCCTACTGTCTACTCACAGGTGAGCTCCACTGAATTCAGTGATACTTTTTTCCAGGTAAAAAAATTGTACAAGACTGCAGTATCAAAATATAATAATTTCTTCAGCCACGGTACACTTGTTCCTGTTGCATGGAAGAAACACCCTTGAGCAAGAAAAGAACAGAAAGATTTGAGAAAGCAATTTGATATGGTTTGTGTAGGATTGGAGATACTGTATTTTTTAGAGATACTGTATTACAGTGGAAATTTCTCCCCTGCTTCTCTGCCTTGGGTTCTGCTCAAAATAGTTGAAGCAGGAATCTTGGGCCTTTTGGTTGATTTTCACTGTTTTACCAGATAGACCCCCACCCACATGACTATTTAAATACTTCTGGAAGATTCTTCAGCTCCAGACATTTTGAGTAGTTACTTTTCAGGTACAAAACAAGACATAGCTACTAAGCGCAGCAGAGCTTGGAAAAAGGGGGGATTGTACTTCAACTCCCATAATGCTCTATCCAGCATGGATTGGGGGGTTCTGGGAGCTGTATTCCAAAAATGAAGCTTTCCCTAGCTTTGCGGACACACATTTTCTAGTGCCCCCTTTAGGCATTAGTTTCACCATTAAGTGGGAAAGCATAGCTATAAGGACACCTTGGCTCACATTGTTCAACAAAATCAGTGGGGATTCTCATTGGAATTAGACAACTCTGCTATTTTTATTTTAAACTCTGACATTACCTTGATTTATAAACAGTTATAAGCAACACTGGACTCCTCTGGTGTTAGGCACACCTATATTTCCCCAAACACCTGGCACTGGTTTGCAACCACAGCTGTTGGACAACTGTTAAAAGGGGAAGGATTGGAAGAGAGACCTCTCTCCTTCCTGGTCAATCAAGAAGGTTAGGGGAACATATAGGGAGTCTATAAGCAGGTATACAGGAGGAGATGCCATCTTCTCCAGATCCAAACATTTTAAGAGTGCCAAATTAATCATTCACTTCAAAATACTTGCCAAGGGTTGTGTTCCATGACAACAGTCACCAATATTTCTTTCCCCCCTCAAGGTGAACTTGAACTTGACATTTAGCAACATGTATCATAGGCATTAATGGAAATCGTTATTTTTTTAATTAAAAAGCAATTTACTGATAAGTAGAGAAGCATAAATGTATTGACAGATGCTATTTTTTTTCCTCAGATGGTAAACAATGTTCTTCAAACCCATGCTTACATAACAATGAGTGTAAAGACACCATTCGCAGTTACACATGTGATTGTCGGGATGATTTTGAAGGAATCAATTGTGCTTTTGGTAAAATACTTTCCTCTTATACATATGCATTCATCATGTTATTTCTTAAAACACTGAGGCCAAAATCCTCTTGCATAAAGTTATGCCAGAACAAATTGATGACATCATCGGCCACAGGCTTTTATCGCTCATTAAAAGTTTCCTACTCCAAACACCCCAGGTTCCAAAGGTTCCCTCGGAATTCCTTTTGACCTGAGGAATCCTCTGTATGCCGGGGGTGGGGGTGGGGACCATTACTGTCAGAAAAATTTTACTAACGTTGTTATTACTTATGGAGGAGTACAAGTTGGCTACCTATCTGTTAAGCAGATATTGGTTGAACTCTTGTTGCCTAGTATAGTATGTTGTACTAGAATAGGTCCATTGAATTAGTGGGGATTTAGTGAGTCAACTCCTCCATAAGTTCCATTGGTTCAAATAGACCTACTCTAGTTGAGACATAATAAAGTCGGTAGCAACTAGAGTAAACCCATTTGAATCATGAAATTTATGGAGGTGTTGACTCACTCATTCAGTGGGTCTACTCTAGTGCCACTTACCATACTAAGTGACAAGATCTCAGCCTCTCTTTGTGTGTAATGAGCTGGCAAGTCAAAATCAACTTACAGCAGCCCTAATAAAGTTTTCAAGGTAAGTGAGATAATTCACAAGTTTTTTTGCTGGTTGCAACCTGCCCTGCTAAGTTCCCATGGTGAAGAGGAGATTCAAAAGCCCGTTTCCGTATCCACTACACCACATTATTCTCTATCCCTTTTTAGCAGACATAGTTGTTATTTGTCATCAAGTCACCACCAATGTATGGTGACCCTTTGCATGAGTGATTTCCAAAATGTCCTGGCCTCATTGCCCCTATGTTAATCTTTCAGCAAATGAAATGATACTGGGTTGGACTGTGCCTTGAACAAAAAGAATGTGATTTGATGGAGACAACCATTTGGGGGGGGGATTTTTTGATAATGCTCCTTTTCCATTGTAATCCCCCCACTGCTTCTTACAATGCTCCAGAGGATCCATAAGCATCTAAAGCAGATTTGTGGATGGTAAAAGAGATTAAAAGAGAAAGGAGGGATTGGAGGCTATTGTTTTCCCTTCTTCAAATATGAGCATCCTCATTCCAAATATGAGTGAATGGAATTCAATTCACAGGAATTCTAGATGCATTCCACTTTTTCTATCTCTACAGAAAAACTGGGAAGGGATAAGATGCAATGATAGTGATATGTAACAACTTTTTGTAACTCATGGCTGCTTATAATTGTAACCAGAGAGTAACAAATGTTACATTTCAGAAGTAATATAATACACAATAAGAAAGTTATTTTGGTGGTACAATGAATCACATTTTCTTAGGGGTATTTGAAAGATACTCTTAACAGGTATTTCAAGGCATTGTGACAAGAACTTTTCCAAAATTAAAACAACACACTTTAGACAAAGGACATTTGCATGAATTTGTGCTAGATAATTACAACTTGGTGTTGATTCTATTTGTAGTGTTTGCCCTCTGATTCAAAATGTGTCTTATTCTGCATAGCTAAAAATGAATGTCGCCATGAAGTGGGTGAAGGTTGTGAACACTTCTGTTATCCAGAACTGAAGACTTACCGCTGTTCATGCGCAGATGGCTATGAGCTTGGGGAAGATGATAAGTCATGCATTCCTCAAGGTAATCATTAAAAAAGGGGAGGAAACAATTTTAGTTTAGAACATTACAGAACTTTACAGACCAACACAGGGCAAATGAGTCATTCCTTGTTCACATCTCATCAATTCACTGGCATTTCATAACAAGCCTTTGTTCTTCACCTATCCATAAAATAAGGATTTTTAGAGGATTTTTACAAGAACTATATGCATATATTATGTGCAAGAGCCTTTAAAGAGGAAGCACTGTTTAAACATTATTACTGTATTATAATTAGCAAAACACCTATAATAATGGATTGCGGTGTGTGCAGAACAGGGGTGGGCACTATAGCCCTCCATTTATTGCTGGCCCCTAAATTCCCATCAGTCATAGCTAGCTTAGCCAATGGTGATGGATGATGGAAATCACATATTTATGTAAAATATTTACATAAAATATTCATGTCAAATATGAATTTGACATAAAACCCTGGCCCTGGACCTTTGATATAAGGCAGTTGTGAAGGAATTAAGACCTAATTCTAAACATTATACAAAATTAATGAGCAGAAATACTTTTCAAACTTGTCCCTGCTTTTATTAGCTAATGATCTGAATTCATTTTGGTGATGCTGCTGGATTAATTTTTTAATAATGAAGCAGTTATTCCTGGAAGACACACATTACAGCCATAACTGACAATTGTCATTTGGAGCAAGCAGCACAAAATGTGCCCTCAAATCAACTTTAACTTGTGATGTAAAGATTATCAGCACCTCATCCTGTCCGGCTCAGAGGCCCAGTTTACTGCAACTGATATAGACTTGCCCTCAAATAGGGAAGGCTACCCATAATCTATTTATGTCTACCGACTAGCTGAGGACACCCCTCTGCTGGTCTACTGTAGCTTTCCTGCTGTCCCTTGGTGGCCTGATCTACTAGCTAAGCAACCTGCCACGTTTACCCTGATTTACCCCTATCTTTGGCTATGGTGGTAAAACAGGCTGCCTGGCCAAGCTTGGAAATCTATGGAAAGTGATGCATCCTCTAAATTTGGTGACCTGGGACAAGGCTCCAGTTACCCTGCATAACCTCTTTGTTTTTATTTGCCATTGCTAGATCAATGTGCTTGTGGCAGATTGAAAAATCACTTACCAAGGCAGCTGAATGCAACCCAGAAGGTCCACAGAGGATTCCCCTGGCAGGTATTTGAAAGATGAATTATCACTGTTTGTTTGTTTGTTTGTTTAACTTGTATACCACCCCACTCAGTGACACCCACTACTTTGGGCAGTTTACAGAACAGACCATCAAATGGCCGCCCAGCCCCCAAACCACCCACCTACAAATCCAAACAACATGATGATGACCAACTCATATAAAAAAAAGCCTCCTAAATTTAAAAATTAAAAGTTCACAACAGCAAGGGATATGTTCTTGAAGGCTGCTGTATAAAGTTGTATCTTTAATAGTTTCCTAATTCACAAGGGGCGGAGCCTGGTTCACCTCAGATGGAAGCTTATTGTGGTAGAGGTCACCACAGAGAAGGCCTAATTTCCCATTGTCATTTTTTGGCCCCTTTCAGTGTGGCCACCCTTAGCACTGTGGTTTGGGTGGAGCATGTGAAATGGACAGCTGTTTTTCTGGGAGAGGTATCCTGACAAATATTGAGGTCCCAAACTGTTAAGGGATTTATAGGTCAATGTCGGCACCTCAAATTTGACACAGAAACTAACAGAGAGCCAGTGAAACTAACCATTGACTACAATTCTTGTCCGGTTGTAATACATGAGACCAAGATTTAAACTAGAGGGATGCACATCAATGTTTTTGAACTGCAACTTCTAGAATGCTCCAGGCAGTATGGCCAGTGGCCATGGCCAATTCTGGCAACTGTAGCCCAAGGCGACAGACATGCACACCTCTTGTTTAAACCAGTGGTTCTTAATCTTTGTTACTCGGATGTTTTTGAACTGCAACTCCCAGAACCCCCAGCCAGCACAGTTGGTGGTGAAGGCTTCTGGGAGTTACAGTCCAAAACTCCTGAGTAACCCAAGGTTAAGAACCAGTGGTTTAAACTACTGCAATTGAAACAGCTTTCTGAAGCAGATGAGAGAAACTCTGAAGCCAGACACATTTAGAGGAGCAGTAGATAACCTGACCTGCTCCTCTAAACATTCTTGTTGCTAATCTTCCTGAGTTGTAAGACATTAAAAAGTGGCAAACTTACTAGAGTTAAATCTACTGGCGGCCTGGTTTCTGAGATGGGTTGAGGGAAGAATCATTTTGCAGTGGCAGAGGGGAATGCGCCCCCGACCCCAGACCACAGGTACCACTACTTTGGTCTCATTTTTGTGATGTTTTGTATAACCTTCACTACCAGAAGTGTGCAGGTTTGTGTTTTAGACTCCAATCACAGTTTAAAAACACAAATTATCACACCTTTATTCATTACATTTGATCTCTGCTGTTATGCAGACATTCCCTATCCCATACTCCTTAGGTAGATTCCCTCTTCTCTTTTCACCACCCCAGCTGTCAGATGGAAGTCTGATCCACAAAGTCTGCCATTCTAGTCTGCAGTTATGAACTTATTTGATAGATTGGAAAGGTTTTATGTCCATGACGCTATACTGGAAACAGCATTAGGTAGTCCAAAAGCAGTCTGTTCTGTCCAAAAGAGTTTACATTATTAAACAAGCATTGTGTACACTGCAGTCTGTTTTTCTTTCAAGGTCCTGCTCTTAGATGCAGAAGGGAAAAGGCTCTGTGGAGGGGTTCTACTGAAAACCAATTTTGTGTTGACTACAGCAGAATGTGCACACTTATCTCCCGCCAATGCTGAGATTGGTAAGTAGCCAGCAAACAGCTTGATTTGTTGTGGGACTCTGAAAACCTCCAAGACAGGTAGCTCTTCTCAGTTCAGCCCTCTTCCTCAATCTCCTGTACATGCAAAGGAGTGCCCATAGTACTTTGTACAATTCTCTTTCATTTCACAACACCGCTTGTACAGAAACAAGCCTGAATAGATTGCAAACATTTTATTTCAGGCAATTGCTATAAATAACAAAACATTTGCATAGTATTCAGGCTAAGCTGAGGACTGGTTCCGTCTCACTAGTTGGTCAAAAGTTGTAAGACTTCCACAGACATTTGTACCTCTGCCAAATGAATTCAGCATGACGCTGCATGGCAAGAGTAAGGAACATCTGTGCAATGAGACTTTTGTCTGCAGTACCTTGGTATACGGTATAGCTGACTTTGCATATTTGCTAATTAGTATATGCTAATTTTTCTGAAATTGTTTACCAGTTTTGTCTTACACAAGAGCACCTTCCACACATCAAGTTGCTCTTGATGAACTCCTACAGGGGCCAGAGTGCAGGGATCTTTGAAAAGCCTTTGGAAACAAGCAATATTTACCATTGCTTGTTTCCGAAACTTCATCAGACCTAAAACATTTCGAAATGTTTCTTGGAAAAGGAGGTGGTGGCCAAGGAATGTTGTTGCCTGAAAGACAGCTCATGCAGTGTCCCTCTGCAAATCCATCGCTTAGGTGAGGGGTGGGAAGCCTTTGAATCTGCAGATCTTCTGCTTAGATTTCTTATACTTCACACCAGTGGTAGGGGACTGTGGCAGCCATCATTTAAAATATCTGGAGGCCAAGGGCTTAAGCAATCTTGTAGCAATGCACAGATTCCTGCCTTCTACTGGCTCCTTGCCTCCACCATATGTGTCAGCCAGCTCATACAGCAGGGCTGGCCTCAGTCAACTTGCTTTTATAGTTAATTCTTTCTGCCCTAGACTACATCTAATGTTGATTCATTATTTCATGCAATGGAACCTCTCCTCTCTCCTAAATGTATGCTGCAGAAAATTAAATTTTTCCATTGCAGATTCACTGGGGCATACAGATGCCCATTAATAATGCCCATTTTGTTGGCCCATAACCACTGTGGGCTACAAGCCCATATATCCCAGAGTAAGAAAGAAGGAACATGCACCTGAAAGCCTGCCAAATTAATCTCACCAGTCCCTCTCCCCTTCTTGTCACAAAAGTGGTAATCCTCATAAATTCCAGAACAATCTAGATAAGGCATGCTAATTCACCTACTGAAAAACTGGTCATTCTCTACACACATGGTGTTTCTTGGCATTAGAGGGGTACAGACAGAATAATGTTTACAACAAATTAAATTATAAGTGTTGGTTTATCTCCACAGGCATCAACAGCTTGCAAAAAGCCAAACAAATAGTACATGTGAAACAAATAAATCTACACATCCGCTACGACAGTAACACCGGAGAGAACAACCTAGCACTGCTGGAACTCAAAAGGCACGTAGACTGTGATTCCCACCACATACCGATATGCCTCCCAGAGAGGGATTTTGCAGAGCATGTGTTGATTTCAGAACTGGCAGGCATTCTCAGCGGCTGGAAAATGGCTGGAAATGAATCAACAGATACACTAACGGAACTTTCGGTTTCATTCGTAAATGAAAAGGAATGCAAGCAGACACTCAACAGAAGTCTCATTACCAGGGAGTTCTGTGGATATAGTCAAGAGGCATCAGGGGAACTACTGGCTGAAGGAAGTTTTAGTAGCATTGACTATAAAGGCACATGGTTTCTGACTGGTATTTTAGAGCCGTGGGCCACAGAAGCTAGTAAGTGGAAAACATTTATACTCACCAAAACTTCGAGATACATGATGTGGTTTGCACAAGTAATGGACTAAATCAAATGCAGTGGCAAAAGGATAGAATGGCAAGGCCCAGCATCTGAATGCATTTGAAATGCAAGTCATTGTTGTAAATATTGTGTGTGCTTTTTGCCCCCTTCCTCCTCTCCAATGCTTTTCATTAACAGAACTCACTGATTTTATTAATCTTATTTTTTTAAATGTTGCTTTGTTTACATAGTACATGCTGGTATGATTTTAAAATACTGTATGCTTTTTAAAAAAATGATAGAAGTGTCACTCTCCCTGCCCCCAAAATCATCCTCATTAGCACAAGAAGCCCTTGAACTGTGTTTCACTAAATTCTGCATAAACAAATTCTTGTACTTTTGCTGCCCCTTGAATCATTCAGTTGTAGGCACATGAGTGGGTCATAAAATGCAGGCATAAGATAGGACTTCAAACAGCAAGATAGGCTTCCACAGCAACTTTCTCTCTCTGTCAATGTAAGTAAGAAATTCACCCATGCTGTTTAACGTGGTGAGGGAATCCATGCGCCTTAGGGAAGCTGAGCGCAAAGAAGCAGGAGCCTACATGCTATAACAAGTCTAGACTCCTAGCACTGCCATCCAAGGTGGAATGGCCAAAGCTGAGTCACCACAACTAAAATGCATCCAGCTTCTTTAGGAATTGCATCAGAAGGACAACATGATGCAAGGAGAGAAATGTTCTAGAAGGGCAGCTGCTGGGCAGCAGTAGTTGAAGGTGTCACTGGCAGAAGATCTTTCATGGACAATATCAATGACCCTACACCTACCTTTTCTTAGTACTGTGCAGTGGATGGTATTTTTGAATAGTTTATACCTTGAAAACTAGACAATTAAGTGAAAACCAGAAATGAAACAAGAGAGAGTGCAGGTCAAAAGACACTCAATCAGCTACTGGGAAACAATAAAATAAAAAAATGTAAATAATACTGTTGCTAATGAAGCAATTGGATTAAAGCTGAAATATGTGTTGTTGCTGATGTACAAAGAAACAAAAGGAAAGTCCAATGCTGCACAGGACATATAACTCAAAACATGGAATGTGAGAGTGTAAATCAAGGTAAACTTGAAATCATCATGCAAAAAAAAAAAAAATGGAACATTTAAGCACTACAGTGCTTGGTGCGAGTAAAGTTGAGTTGACCAGCACAGGACATTTTTCATTAAAGGCAGGTTTTTATCACAACTGATATTTCTTGTTCCTCACAAAAGCTTAATTAAGCACAAGTACTGAAAGCTAAATATGAAATATTCTGGTAATATTAGGATAAGCATCAGTAAAATTACATTTTTGATAGTGCTCACTCTAGTAACATTTGTATTGACTGTCAACACATTTAACTTACTTAAATAACAATTATAAGCAGACACTTAACAGAAGGACACCAACAGGAGGTTCAATTTTTAAAGTTATTTAATGAAGTTGCCAGCTTTTTGCAAAAAACTGTTGGTTGGAATCTATGGAACAAAATCTTTCTAGACATGAAAGGCCTCTTGTTCAGCAAAACACTACTGGTGACGGAATGTTGGAGAGGGTTATCTTTACTGATTTTCTTTGAATTCTTGGTAGTTATTTACCACCACCTTTGGCCAACCTACTTAGATTCTTGGGGGACCCAACCGGACAGCATGGGAGATGGAGTGTAGGTGGAGAATCTTCATGACAAACTCTGCCGCAGCTGAACAGACTCGAGCAGAATGCCACTCAGCAAATGATCCCACTGGGAGAAGGAAATGCTACATTCAAGCCAGAATTTGTTGTGCCACAGAAGTCTCTTAAGGCCCTATTCATGAATACATACATGTACAGATGTGGGCTAAGTTCATGGCCAGTTCTTTCCTGTAAAGAGTGCAGCTGAAACAGCAATCCGTGTTCATGAGCAACAAACTCCTCTTCTGGTCACACTGAACTCAACAAACTGTAGAAAGTGGAGGAAATGGATTTTGCTTGCTGACAACCAGCTTCTGATGCTGATGTGAAATATAGCCTTTAATGTGACCCTGACAAGGAAAACAACAACACACAAGCAATGGTATTGGAAATCTTAAATGATACGCAAATGATATTTGCTAGATTTACAAATATAGTCAGGATTGATGGACTGCTTGCAGTTTTTTTAAGCCTTCCAAATACAGTAACTATGTGCAGATTAAAACAGTAATATTCATGTAGTCATGCTTTAGTGAAAGACCTGCATTGGGAAATGAGGCACAGTTAAGGTTAGAGGATCATTGTGCGGATATACTTCCATATCATCATTCAGGTAGAAAAAGCAAAACACTGCTAACACAATGCTGGTAAACTCTTTTTCTTTAAGACGTACTCGTAATCACTGCTTATGAAGGAAACAGGAGAACTTTTATTAATCAGTGTTTTTGTTTATGTGGCCTGTTAACACACTGCCCTGACTGACTTGATTACCACCGAAGGCTTGTCTACATGGTCTAAAAAGAGCATGCTGGAGCAGACAAAATTGGGTTAGGAGGAGGTCTGGTAACCCATTTGGTGTAATCCTTGAATACGAATGGCACAAAGACTTCAAGGGACCCTATTTGGTTTGCAGTAGCCTATTGTCAATTTGCCAATATTGTGAGGTGGTTGAATTGGACAGGCCCACGACTGGACCTTTAAAAGATAAGCAAACCAAAGCTTCTGAGAGGAAGCTTTCCATTTGGCTTTTTTTTTCTTTGAGGAGTGCAAAGCATATTCACTGCCCTAATACACACATAATTTTTTAAATAATAAAAAACTTCCTTGGCCCCTCCATAGAGCCAAGGAAATGGTTAATTTGCCAGTATCCTGAGATGGCTGTCTTATTAAGACTCTTCACAATATTGGCAAATTGGAGGAAGGTTTGCTTTTGGTCCATTTCTGGCTATCGCATGCTGGAAATGGACCAAACCAGAGCCATCCTACCTGCACAAAAAGAACAGAAGCCCCTGACACCATAAAGGTGCAGGTAGGAACCCTCTGGGGATGATTTGGTTCACTCTAGTGGTTTTTCATGTAATCATCGTAAAAAGGAGTGAATCAACCCATTCCCACAGTGATCCAAACAGCAGGCTAAATGCCCATCTGATCCATTCTAGTGATTATGTCACGTGATCACTGTAAAAAGGAGTGAACCAACCCATTCCCACAGTGATCCAAAGAGCAGGCTAAATGCCCATCTGATTGCACCTTGAATCTGTGATTGGTCCCACACTGCACAAATAAAGTGCATGTTTTATACTTACATGATGATGGCTGTCAATACTCACTGACAGTGTCATGCTGGTGACAACTACACTAGTAGTAATAAGTAAGCTGGGTAAATGCATAATTTGTGATACACAGAAAAATACCTTACTCTATTAAAAGACCTGTTTAGCTTCCATAGCCTTACAAAAAGACAGGTGGTTGGTATGTGTTATTGAATTTGCAAATGAAATACCAGTTTCAATTAATGGACTCTAAAGTTAGCTGGTTGGATAGCTCAGTTATTTAAGTATCTGCCTGCGGAGCCAGAGGTTGGGAGTTTGATTCCCCAATTTGCCTCCTGTGAGTAGAGTCAGCCTATGTGGCCTTGGGCAAGCTGCACAGCCCCAGGGCACCCCCAGAAGAAGAGAATAGTAAACCACTTCTGAGTACACTCCACCTAGAAAACCCTGAAAAGGGTCACCAGAAGTCAGATTCTTTTGGACGGCACATTATTATTATTATTATATTAAAGTCAATCAGATGGATTCAGACCTGCTTCTGCTTAGCCCTGTTGGCATTTAAATGGGACTGAATCATGTTTAAAGTCAGTCTCATGGATTTCAGTGGGCTTGTTTTAAATATAGGCAAGACTGGATCCAGTCTAGTGATTTTATATTGTGGGGAAGCATGCCTCAATTAAAACACATATTTTATTTCTGTCGATTCATCTCAACACTTACCATGTATATGAGGTTAGCCAGAATGCACTGGACTTCATCAATGTCAACATCATCTACTTTCATAAACTTCAGGGCCACCAGAAAGGCATCTAGGGACAGCTGGTGAGTTTTGAGCAATAAATATCTTGAAGAAGGAAAAAAAGCTTATGTTATCTAAGTTATGCTGCACAGAAGATTGAATCCAGACTGAATCCTGCTACCTATCTCCTCTAACCACCCAATCATTTTCCCTGTAGAAAGAATAAGTGAATCCCACTATAAGATCAGGCTGGTCCCACCCAGAATTATCACCTCAGCTGACTGTGACAGCTAACAATATAGAGGTGAAGGAACTAAGATGAGGTCGGAACCTGGAGCTCAAACAGCTCTTGAGATCTGGTACTTAACTATCACTGCTCACTCTTTGTATTTGGGAACAGAAAATGACACTCTGAAGGCAGGAGGACCTTCATGTTTATTTATTTAGCTATTGGAAGATTCTCTCCCCCCGCCCCCCAGTCCTTCCCAATCCCTTTACAGGAAAACAGGAGAGAAGGCAACCTCTTCCCTGTAAAGATGGCTTTATCATGAATTTTTGACAAGGTCAAAACCTCAAGTACACAGTTACCACAGACCAATTTTTCAAACAGAATCACCCTCTTCTTACACTTTCTTGAAGAGATTCCTGTAGGTGATGATTTTCAACTTCTCAAGGATCAGAAAGATCCCGCAGCGAATGAAAAACGTTTCGTGTTTCGCCAGAGCGTCATTCAATAAAAGGAGGTTCCCTTCACTCAAGAAATTAAAAACAAACAAGTGCTTTTAGGTAAAGTGCACAGTGGCGATGGGGAGGAAATGGAGAGGAAAGGACAGGCTCATTTGATATTTGACCTAACATAGCAGCAGCCCATGCAAGGGAAAGTTTTACTAACAAACAGGAAAGCATTTTAAACACATAGCATCTCACATGCAGTCTGAAATGATGCAATCCAGTCACGAGACAAGATTTTTGTGAAATTGTCACCTCAACTGCAGTAAGTACACCTACTGGACTAAATCCAAAGCTGCATTGGCTTTGACAAATTAACTTTCTTCTCCTCCCCTCTGCATCACTTGACAAATAGCCTCGGAGGATTTCTCAGACCTCCAGAACGTTTTCCATGGGGGTGCACAAAGAACAGGAGGGAGGGGACCATTGCCTCTTTCCCCGTAATATTCCACAAATTCTGCCAAGGGGAAGTCCAAAACATAACCAAAACATTCCTTACTAATGTCCTACCAGTCTGGGATGACAAAAGGAGATGCGGAAAGTTACAAGATGGGTGTGGTGTTGCGGACAAAGGACTGTGTGCTGATTGTATATCATCATGGGATACAGACTAAGTTATGGAAGAGGGGGGTTAAGCAAGTTGTTGGTGTGTAAGCATAAGCTGGAGAAGGAGAAGATGGAAGACAGGTTTACAGTCTTCGCTGATGGATCAGAGACTTAACTATGGTAAGCTAGAATAGCCAACAATTAAGTAATAGAAAGG